TGACTTCTGCCAGCACTTTTATCTGGGAGAAAGCTGCTGCCTCCAGCTCTCATCCTGATTTCAGACAATTTAGTTCCTCCCCATTTGTCTCTGGTGCCTTTCGAGCTGATGCACCAGTGCTGCATCTCAGAAAGAGTGAGGCTAAGTAAAGCTGTGTGTGGGCTCTTTAAGAGGAATGCCTGGGCCCTGGCTTGTGTGACTCAGTTGGTTGGAGCATTCTCCCATAATCAAAAGGTTGCAGGTTCAATTTGATTCCTGGTTAGGGCATATATGTACGCTGTGCCCTGGATGCGTACAATCCCTGCTCTGGGCCTGTATGTGGGCAACAAATCGATGTTTCTCACATTGATATTTCTCTCTCTCTCTCTCTCTAAAAAAAAGAAAGAAAGAAAGAAAAATGCCTGGGATTCCAGAAGCCCTCCATTTCACTCAGCCACAATCCCCACTGGTTTTCATAGCCGGAAGTTATTGCGACTTCTTCTGTCACTGGCATTCTGGGCTTCAGGACCTGATGTGCTGGATGCCTTCCTCCTCAGGTGAGATATCCATAGTTGAGATATCCCTCATGATTTTTATTTGCCACAGGTGGGTGTGGGACCAGCCCAATCCACTTCTCTACCCTTCCTACCAGTCTCGATGTGGCTTCTTCTTTAAATACCTAATACTGTAGTAGGACTTCCATTCAGCTAGATTTTAAATGATAGTTGTTCTGTAGTTTAGTTGTTTTTGATGTGGTTGTGGGAGGATTTGAGTACTGCATTTACCTACACTTCCATATTGACCAGAACCCTTAAAAGTTTATTTTTAAAGGGCCCAGAAAAGCAAGTTACAAAAAGATATCATTTCTATTATATATCTACATAATCAGCTTATTTTTAAAAAGCCAGTACCTTGTATGTAGTTCCACTGTGTACCCAAGAATCTATATAAAACTGATATACAAGGTCTGTCCAGAAGGTATCCAGCCATGTACTATAAAAAATAGAGACATTTATTGAAGAAGATACAAGAAACATTATACACAGGACAATGATGCCCCAGTCCTCTTCAAAGAAGGTACTTTGAGGCCTCACACAGTTCTCCCAATCACCACCAGCTGCCCCGTTGTATTTTCCTCAGTCTTGTCAATGGTCTGAAATCTCTTCCATTTCAAAGGTGATTTTAGTCTTGGGAAAACTCAGAAATCACAGGGCATCAAATCTGGGCTGTGCTGAGTCACCGAGGTGATGTGATGTTTCACAAAAGAACTCTGCATGAAATGTGATGCATGAGCAGGCACATCATCATGATGAAGGTGCCAGTCACCAGTTGCCCATAGCTGCAGTCTCTCAATCATCCAAATAGTTTCCATGGAGGAATATTCAAACTTAATGCAAAATTTGATGCAAATTTGTTGCTCTGCTTGCTCTGTCATTTTGAATGCAATGGCCACACAGTTCACATGCTCACTTAATGGCATCTACTGCCCCCACTGACTAGTAGAGTGAAGCTACTGTTTATGCATACACATTTGAGTCTATTCTCCTTGGCTGCCAGGTTACATTGATGTCACACGAACCACTCTCATTATATTAACAATGGCGGGACTTTTTCTGGGCAGACTTCATATACGTATAGCACTGTGCTGTAAAAGAGCCACTCACATGTGGCTATTTAAATTTAATTAATTAGAGCTACCATTAAATAAAATTAAAAATAAGTAACATTTTCTCATTCATACTACTCACATTACAAGTACCCAATAGCTAATGTGACTGGTTACCATTTTGGACAGAACAGATACAGAACATTTTCATCATTGCAGAAATTCTATTGGACAGCACTGCTGTAATTCTATTGGACAGCACGTGCCACTGCATTCAAAAGGACTTAGGAATATACACCAAATAAGTGGCTACCTCTAGAAAAAGTAGTTCATTTTTTTCTATAGTCTTCTGTATTGTTTCTACTTTTATGAATATATATTCTTTTTAAAGTATATTTTATTGATTTTGCTATTACAGTTGTCTCATGTTTTTCCCTTCTATCTCCCTACACCCTGCACACCCTCTCCCTCCAGCATTCGCACCCCCCGCCCTTAGTTCATGTCCATGGGTCGTACATATAAGTTCTTTGGCTTCTCCATTTCCCATAATATTCTCAACCTCCCCCTGTCTATTTTGTGCCTACCAAATATGCTTCTTATTCCCTGAACCCTTTTCCTCCATTCTTCCCCTTCTCCTCCCCAATGATAACCTTCCATGTGATCTCCATTTCTGCAATTCTGTTCCTGTTCTAGTTGTTTGCTTAGTTTTTATTTTTTAGGTTCAGTTGTTGACAGTTGTGAATTTGTTGTCATTTTACTGTTCATAGATTTGATCCTCTTTTTCTTAACTAAGTCCCTTTAACATTTCATTTAATAAAGGCTTGGTGATGATGAATTCCTTTAACTTGACCTTATTTGAGAAGCACTTTATCTGTCCTTCCATTCTAAATGATAGCTTTGCTGAATAGAGAAATCTTGGTTGTATGTCCTTGCCTTTCATGACTTTGAATACTTCTTTCCATCCCCTTTTGCCTGTAAGGTTTCTTTGGAGAAATCATCTAGTAGTCTTATGAGAACTCCTTTGCAGATAATGGCCTCCTTTTCTCTTGTTTCTTTTAAAATTCTCTCCTTGTCTTTAATCTTGGGTAACTTAATTATGATGTGCCTCAGTGTGTGCCTCCATGGGTCCAACTTCTTGGGACTTCTGAGCTTCCTGGATTTCCTGGAAGTTCATTTCCTTGGCCAGATTCAGAAAGTTGTCCTTCATTATTTTTTCAAATAAATTTTCAATTTCTTGCTCTTCCTCTTCTCTTTCTGGCACCCCTATGATTGGATGTTGGAACATCTAACATTATCCCGGAGATTCCTAAGCCTCTCCTCATTGTTTTGAATTCTTGTTTCTTCATTCTGTTCTGGTTGAATGTTTATCTCTTCCTTCTGCTCCAAATCATTGATTTGAGTCCCAGTTTCCTTCCCTTCAGTGTTGGTTCCCTGTATGTTTTCCTTTATTTCACTTTGTATAGCCTTCATTTCTTCCTTATTTTGAGACCATAATCATTTCTATGAGTATCCTGATTACCAGTGTTTTGAACTCTCCATCTGATAAGTTGGCTATCTCCTCATCGGTTGGTTCTTTTTCTGGAGTGTTGATCTGTTCTTTCATTTGAGCCATATTTATTTGTCTCAGCTCACCTGTTACATTTTAAGGGGTAGAGCCTTAGGTATTCGCTAGGGAGGGACAACCCACTTCACTGCATTGTGATGCTGTGTGGGGGGGAGGGGTCAGAGAGGGAACAATGCCACTTGCTAGCTTGCTGAGTTCTCACCTCACTTTCCTTCACTTCCCTCACATCCCACAAGCACATTGTGCCCTGTCAGGTGCTAATTCCTGGGTGGGTGGGTGGGTGGGCTTGCGTACATTCCAGGATCCTGTGGGCCTCTCCAAGAAACTCTTCTGTGAGGCTGGGAGTTTCCCCTGCTGCTGCAACCCCCACAGATTTTTATAGCCAGTGGTTTTGAGGCTTTATTTCCCCGTGCTGGAACCCTGGATTGTGCTGTCTCACTCCCCCTGTTGTTCCTCCTGGCTTAACCGCATGTGAATGTGGGACTGCCTGGTCTGCCAGCAGCCTTGTTGCAAGTCCTCTCAGCCCCGACTTCCTGTCTCTGCCCCTCCTACCAGTCTGGATGAATGTTTCTTCTTTAACTCATTGGTTGTCAGACTTCCATAAGGTTTGATTTTCCTGGTAGTTCTGGTTGTTTTTTGTTTTTAAATTGCTTGTTATCCTTCTTTTGGTTGTGTGAGGAAGTGATGCATATCTACCTAAGCCTCCATCTTGGCCAGAACTCCATATATTCTTTTTTTATCCTCATCTTTGGACATTTTTTCACTGCTTTTAAAGAGAGAGGAAGAAAAAAAGAGAGTGAGAAACACTGATGTGAAAGGGAAACATCGATTGGTGGCCTTCCATACCTGCCCCTGCCGAGGATTGCCTGGAGATTGAACCTGTAACCTAGCTATGTGCCCTGACCGGGAATCAAACCTACAATGTTTCAGTTTATGGGACAATGCTCCAACCTAGGACTACCAGCCAGGGATGAGTATATATGTTTATATTTTAAATATTTTTGTAGTTTGAAATGTTTTTCACTTTAGTTTTAATATTTGTTTTAAAAAATGATGTATAAGATGTCCTTTAAGTGAGTTATTTTCCTTAATATTTCTATCATTTTCCATTTGTCTGGTAGAGGTAATATTTGTTTAGCAAACTTTAGCACTAAAAGGCTTCTCAAAAACTTTGGCATTTGATAATCAAGTAATTATGATAATAGTAACATGAGTCTTTTTTCCTAAAGTGTATATTGATTTTTTTTTAAATGAATAAAGCAGGTATATATGGAAAGATAACTTATTCCTGCCTCAGACTTTAAAATAGTTGTACCCAATAAAAATGAAATTGATTTTCCATTATATTCTCTTCCTTAACATTCTTGTCCATATTTTAAAAAGATTTTATTTATTTTAGAGAGAGGGGAAGGGAAAAAGAAAGAGAGGGAGAAAAACATTGATGTAGGAGAGCAACATCAATCAGTTGCATCTTGTACATGCCCAGACTGGGGACTGAACATGCAACCCAGGCATGTGCCCTGACCAGGAATTGAACCACTGGCCTTTTGCTTTACAAAACAACACCCAAGCAACTGAGCCACACCAGTCAGGTCTTTCCTATCATTCTCAAAACTCTTCCCAACACTGCAAAAAGGGAACATTTAATTACTTTTCAGAGAATGGACATTTTTTCAGACAGGTATTTTTGTCTGTATAAGTATGCTTATTTATGCATTTTTAAATGCTAGGAGAATTACCTGGTTAAACATGTTCTGTGGTGGATATTAACCAACCATCAAATAAAAACACACAACAGCCTCAAAGTTGGAAAACAATATATTAATTTATTTCCAAGGAAACAACATGGAACATCATTGAAAACAAACATGGATTCAGTAGTTTTTGAGCATCTCCATGGGGAGGAGAAACCCAGTAGCCCAACACTATACTCTTCCAACATTAAAGTACTAAAGACACAGGAGAGATGACCAACAACAAACATGTAAACATCTATTCCAAAAGATTTCTCATTCTATGTGCGAAAGATCCAGTGTAAAACATTTCTTCTTTTCAGGTGATGTCATTTGGAGAAGTTGAAAAATGACTCTGCCATTAATTCTCGCTGTGTTTCCTCCCCTCAGCCTTTTACCTCCCAATACGGTTCCATTGTTTTAAGCTGCAGGAGCAAAGAAGGCTTTATTTCAAAGTCATTCCCTTTAAATATGATTAATTTTCAACAGGTGCAATTATAGAATAAAGAAAAAATTGTGTTAATTAAATGCATCATTAGTTGTAGTAACAGCTTTTCATCAGAATAAATATCAAGGAACTCAATAGATCAGAATAGAAAAGTAGACGTCATATTTTTCTGAGGTGACAGGACCTTTTCTCAATTTTAACACTAAGATCATTCTTAAAACCTACCTTCTCTCGTATAGTAAATGTGGCTATATTTTACCTTCTCTAATATTTCACCTCAGGAAATGGACTAAGACCAATAGTAGAATCTCAGTTGTCAGAAAGGAACTTGGTTATTAGTGTTTAGCAACAACTCCTCTAAGCCTCACTTACCTCATTTGCAAAATGGGGATAATAATGAGGACCTCATGAGAGGGTTGTGAGGTTTGAATAGTGGGCTAGCAAAATGCCTTGAACACAATAGGCTTTTTAGCTTCTGTCTCCTCCTTCCTTTCTTTTGAATGATCTCTGATTTAAACCTCAATTTGTAATTACTGATATCACAATCTACAATCATGCATATGAATACATTAAAGTACAATCATTATCTAAGGTTCTCTACAGCAGTCTTTCCAATGTTAACATTATTACCAAGATTTTTAGAGTGAAAAAGCTTCCATCTTAATTTTCCTGCTTTGTCTCAGCACATGTTTGGTACATAATAAACATTCAAGAAATATTTATTGACTGCATGCTGAACAAATTGGATGAGTGAATGGACAAGGGATAAATGGCACAGATGCTCACCCACAAATGAAAGCTCTTAAACTTCTTGGCGTTCTTTTCAGCACCAGGCATTGCAAAGCCACTTAGAGAATGATATGGATAAAATTTGGTCTCCATTTTGCAAGTAAGATAACTTTGGTGAGGGTGGAGGGTGGTGATGAAGAGTAAAGTGATTCATTTTGAGGTATGAGACTTGAGGCTAGATCCACACAATACCACCTCTCTTCTAGGAGTATCTTCATTCTGTGAGAACTTTTCGGTGTTCTCAATGAAAAAGGATGGAAGAGGGATCAGGGCATGTTCTGAAATAATCAGATATGTTCTGTTCCCCTGGGACCTTTTACGGAAGCTGCTGTCTTAAAACACATCCTGCCTCCTGTTATGACTTTATATTCTATACAGAACTTCAGACAAGTAAACTGAAAAATGCTAGTTTTAAAACTCAGGAACAGGATCTGGTTCTCAGCCCTAGTAGCTCAAATTTTAGAGGAGATAAATGAGTTACCCTGAAAGCTGCTTGTATGTCTATGTGCAGTTGAGCAAAGAGTTGTGTCCATTAATATGTGGCTATAGATCTGTTATAAAAGATTGCCTCTTCAGAGAAACCATTTTCCTAAGTCATATTACCTACAATCCTGCTTTTGATTAGAACATTTATATATAATGACTATCTGATGCAAAGATATGATGACACTTACATTGATCCTTGAGCAGAACAACAAACTGACATAGAGGTGAGCATCTAGAAACAGCCAGAGTGGCCAAAGTGCCAGGATAGCTCCATGCAGCCATTGTGTTAATGTATTTCACAGTGTCCAGTGGATATTGTAATATATAATAGTATGGCCAGATCCTGAAGCCATAACCTCAGTCCTGAAAATGTTAACCATGGCAAAGTCCTCTCACAAAGGCTCTTCCTCCCAATTGCCATTTCCCTTTGATTATAAGTTTCAGTAGATCAAAAATACCAGCTGGGTTGTATTGCGGTTTCACTCTGATTTAGGGTTCTTTCTCGAAGTCTCAGTTCTAGGCATTCCACAGTAAGGGGGTATGTAGTGAGCTCAAACTTGTTAGCAAAAAGGCTTGGTGAATTAATCAACCACTTTAAGTCTCCATTTCCATAGATACAAATGCCATGAACGTAGTGGCCTGCAAAGGAGAGAACAAGAAACAGTCAAAACATGCTTGCTTTCAAAAGTCAGCAGTAGTGAACTTGCAGTGATAGAGTTAGTGCCTGACTACTGAGTACCTAAAACTGGGCCAAGTGCTATGAGATTCTAATGAAACACAATTGTGTCAACCTGGTGTACAAAGAAGTTCAACTCTTTATAGGAGAACAGAAGGTACAAATACATATTTGAAGAAAATGAGAGTTAACACAAAGCAATAACATATGCGGCATCATGAGGCAATCCATGTATTATCAAATTAAGACTTAGGAATGAGAAGTTCCAGAAGTCTACAGATGTCTTTATGTGCTACACTGGTCAGGCCACTTCCTGGAGCTTGGCCTAGTCTCTCCAAGTGCCTAGATGAGTAATAAACCCAACCAATACATGTCAAGACTGTATTCCTTAATCCTCTCTAAGTCTTCCCCATCAAAATACACAGCAATTCTATTCTGTGGTGCTTTGAGCACTTCTCCCCTCTCTCATATCCCTCTCTCTCAGAAATTCTGTCAGCTCAACTTTCAAAACATTAATGGAATTTGACTACTTTTCACCACCTCTACTACTACCATCTTGTTCCAAGTCACCTCAATCTTCCTGTTTTGAGATGCTGCAATAATAACTGCTTTCCATGCCTCCACCTCTGTCTGTTAGTATATCCTCGGCGTATCAGCCACAATGATGGCTTTAAATGTAAGCAGACAATGTCTCCTCTGCTTAAATGGCTTCTCCTTTCATGGGTAATAAAAGCCAAAATCTTAGCAATGGCATAAGACAACTCAGAGTCTAGCCCCTTGTAACCTGGACTTACCTCCACCACTTGCTCAATCACCTATAACCCTTAATAACCCCTGCTTACTCCTTATGGACATACTGGACTCCTTACTGTTCCCAAGCACACCAGGCATGTTCTATTTGAGAATCCTGAAAAAAGTATGGCAGAGGAGAGAATGGGAGTCATGCTGACCTCCTCCTCCCAAGACCAAACTGGAGTTGCGACTAAATAGTGGAGTGATCACCTGGAAAACAATGGAACTATAGTGGGAGAGGAGCCTTGGCAGCATGGACAGACAGTGCATTCAACTCTCACACATCCCAACGGGTGAGAAGTGCGGCGGAGGCTCGAGAGGGTGGGCTGGGTGCCCATGGGCACTAGCACCAGAGGGACATTGAAATGGCCAGTTAGCTCCCCCCGAGAAGAACGGGGTCTGAATCATAAACAGGGACCTCTAAACTACAGCAGCTAAAACCAGGAAAATACAGACAAAACGCAACCCTGAAAAGCTTAGGGGCGCTCTCTGCCAGAGATAGGTGGCTGGGGATGCAAAGAGACATTTAAAGGGCCAATGCAAAAATTGCAGTGGCAGCCACCCTCCTTGATCTCGGGGTAGAGGCGGCAGCAGGGTGGGCTGGTGCCTGGGAAAAGATTGGTGAGGAAAACTTTGTGAAGAGAACTGAGACGGCAGCCGGTGGAGCCCTGGTGATAATGCACCTCCCACTCTGCAGCTACCACCTCGCTCAGGCATAAGAGAATCAATTAACCTGCCTTTTGTGCGGTCCACACACAGCTTATGCTCCTGTGAGCTGGGGGCCTAAGTGCAGACTGGCTGGGAGAGCCTTGAGGAGAGACTGCAGACGGACGCATTGGGGAAAGAATGGGAGGAGGAACCGGGGAGTGCCCATTCCCTCCCCATTCTGTAGTCTCCATTCTGTGCAGTCAGGGCGCTCCCCCAAAGAGGGAGAAATGGGGTGTGCAGGAGCCAGACTGCCCGCGATTGCAACGCCGTCTGCACAGGTGGTGGATCCTTGGCCGAAGGGGTCACAGAACTGCACAGAGACCCCTGGGGAGGGACTGGAGAGAGAGGTGTTGGGGAAAGAACGGGAGGAAGAACTGGGGAGTCCCAACTCCTCCTTTCCCTAGTCTCCATTGTGCGGGAAGAGGCCACACCCCCAAAGAGCCAAAAGCCGAAAAGCACACAATAGCCCAAAACCACCCAGTGCAGGCGCGCACACTTGCGCTGAGTGGCCGGTGAGGTTTGGCGGGTGTATGTGTGGACCCGGGGGTGCTGGCAAGGCCTCCCACAGGTTGGCACTGATGGGGCCTGTGAGGGATTGTGCAGATCGGCGAGGGCAGGCGTAAATCAACCTGCACAGCCCGCATGTGCAGAGCAGTCTACAGAAATAGTGGATCCCGGGCTGAAGGGGTCACAAAGCTGCCCAGAGTCCCTGGAGGAGAGACTGGAGACAGGATACCCGGAGAGTCCTGGAGCTGACTTCCTCCCATTTCCGTAGTCCCCATTTGGCGACAGCAGGCAACGCATCCAAAGAGCCAAAAGTGGGGAAAGCACACAATAGAAGACCCTAAACAGACCAGTGCCGGGGTCCCCGCCGGCCTGGGGGGCCAGATGAGTACATGAGGTCGTGAAGACGCCCCCTGGGCTGGGGCAAGCGCACGTGACCCCAGGCGGATGGGGGATCCTGCCAGCCGCGGAGCGCAATCAAGGAGCCAGCAGAAGAGTGCACAGTGACCCACAGAAACAGTGGATCCCTGGCCAAAGGGGTCACACAGCTGCCCCAAGCAGGAGTCAGACACAGAGAGTAGACCCCTGGAAGGCTCAAACAAATGCCTCAAGGCCATATAGGGTCAACAACTGACATCATCAGAGGTAGGCCCAGAAAGAAAAGTAAAGGAAATCAATCAATCAGTAAAAGACCTGCCTACTACCATAGAAGTTTAATCCACAAAGTCAGGAAATCTAGACAGCCCAATTGAAGCAGAAGCAAAAATAAATAAATGAATTACTTAACAGACTCTCACAAAATGGGAAGAAAAAAAGTTCCCCCCAAATGAGTGGAAAAGGGAACTCCCCACAGAGAGAGATAAATGAAATAGAGGCAAGGGAACTAGCAGATAGAATTCAAAACAATGGTTCTAAGGAAGCTCAATGAGCTCAGCCAGCTCAAAGATAACTATGAGAAACTGCAGAGAAACTAGCAGGATCTTACAGCAAACTATATCAGCCTGGAAAAGGACATAGAAACTATCAAGAAGATGCAAGAGGATATGAGGAATACCATTTCTGAATTGAAGAGCACAGTAGAAGGAATCCAAAGCAGGCTGGATGAAGCCGAGGATCAAATCAGTGAGATGGAGGATAAGGTAGAAAAAAGCTCCCAGAAAGAACAAGAAATGGAAAAAAGACTCAAAAAGAATGAAGAGGCATTTAGGGAAATGCAGGACAACCTGAAACATAATAATATCCGCATAATAGGAATACCAGAAGGAGAAGAGGAGCAAGGGATAGAGAACATCCTTGAAAAAGTAATGATGGAAAATTTCCCTAATTTGAGGAGAGAAAGGGTCTCATGGATCCAGGAGGCACAGAAGACCCCACTCAAGAGGGACTCAAGGAGGTCCACTCCAAGACACATCATCATTAAATTGGCAGCTATCAAAGACAAAGAGAGAATCCTCAAGGCAGCAAGGGAGAAGGAGAAAGTAACATACAAGAGGGCCCCGATATACCTAGGAGCTGACTTCTCAACAGAAACACTACAAGCCAGAAGGGAATGGCAACAAATATTCCAAGCCATGAAAAGCTACAACAAAGGCTGCTCTACCCAGCAAGGCTCTCAATTAAAATAGAAGGGGAAATACGGAGTTTCCCAGACAAAAGAAGGCTAAAAGAATACATTACTACCAAACCAGCACTCCAAGATATGCTAAGGACACTGGTTTAAGCAGATGAAGGAAAAGAATGAGAGAGAGAGGAACACAGGTACAAAGAGAAAAGATGAGTAAGTTTCTATCAGTAATATCTCTCAGTGTAAATGGACTAAATGCCCCAATCAAAAGACACAGCGTAGCTGAATGGATAAGAAAACATGACCCACACATATGCTGCCTACAAGAGACCCACCTCAGAGCAAAAGACCTACACAGATTGAAAGTAAATGGATGGAAAAAAATATTCCAAGCAAATGGGCAAGAGAAAAAGGCCGGGGTTGCCATACTTGTATCAGACAAAGTAGATTTCAAAACAAAGGCCATAAAATAAGACCCAGAGAGGCACTTTATAATACTTAAAGGAAGAATCTATAAAGAAGACATAAACATTGTAAACTTATATGCTCCCAATAGAGGAGCCCCCAAGTATATGAGGAAATTGTTGGATGACTTCAAAAAAGATATAGACAGCAACACACTGATAACAGGGGATTTCAACACCCCACTGTCAGAAATGGACAGATCTTCCAAACAAAATATTAATAAACATATTGTGCAGCTGAATGACACACTGAATCAAAGAGACTTAACTGACATATATAGAACCTTACATCCCAAAGAAGAAAAATACACATTCTTTTCAAATGCTCATGGAAGTTTTTCAAAGATAGACCACATGATAGGACACAAAGAAAACCTTAGCAAACTCAGGAAAATTGAAATAACACCAAACTTTTTCTCAGACCCCAAGGCCTTGAAACTCGAAATCAACCTCAAAGAGAAACTTCAAAAACTTGCAAACTCATGGAGACTGAATAGTACACTGTTAAACAATGAATGGGTCAATAATGAGATAAGAGAAAATATTAAAAATATTTCTGGAAACAAATGAAAATGAACAGACAAAAGTCCAAAACCTATGGGACACAGCAAAGGCGGTCCTGAGAGGGAACTTCATAGCAATACAGGCTTACCTAAAAAACAGAGAAACATTTCAAATAAAAGACCTAACACTACAACTTCGAGAACTGGAGAAACAACAACAAATAAATCCCAGAGCAAGTAGAAGGAAGGAAATAGTCAAGATTAGAGCAGAACTGAATGACATAGAGACGAAAAGAACAATTCAGAGGATCAACCAATCGAGAAGCTGGTTCTTTGAAAAGATAAATAAAATTGACAAGCCTTTCAGCAGCCTCATCAAGACAAAAAGGGAGAGGACCCAAATAAGTAATATCAGAAATGAAAGAGGAGAAATAACAACTGATACCAGAGAAATGCAAATGATCATCAGAAACTACTATCAATAATTATATGCCAATAAATTTGAAAATCTTGATGAAATGGACAAATTTTTAGAAAAGTATAATCTTCCAACACTGAAGGAGGAAGAAACAGAGAGCTTGAACAGACCGATAACAGCTGGGGAAATTGAAGCAGTAATCAAGAAACTCCCGGCACACAAAAGCGCTGGGTCAGACAGTTTCACAGGAGAATTTTACAAAACATTTAAGGAAGAGCTAACCCCTGTCCTTCTCAGACTATTCCAAAAAATGCAAGGGGAGGGAAGACTTCCAGAATCTTTTTATGAGGCCAGCATCACCCTAATCCTAAAACCAGATAAAGACCCTACAAAGAAAGAAAACTACAGACCAATTTCGCTGATGAACATAGATGCTAAAATCCTCAACAAAATATTGGCAAACTGCATCTAGCAATATATTTAAAAGATTATCCACCACGATCAAGTGGGATTCATCCCAGGGATGCAGAGATGGTTCAATATACACAAGTCAATAAACGTAATACATCACATAAATAAAAGAAAAGACAAAAACTACTTGATCACTCAATAGACGCAGGAAAAGCATTCGATAAGGTACAACACCCATTTATGATCAAAACACTCAGCTAAATGGGAATAAATGGGGCATTCCTCAATGTAATAAAGGCCATATATGAAAAACCTACAGCCAACATCATACTCAAAGGGCATAAACTAAAAGCTTTCCCACTAAGATCGGGAAGATGACAAGGATGTCCGCTCTCACTGCTTCTTTTCAACATCGTGAAAAAGAAATAAAAGGTATCCAGATAGGACAGGAGGAAGTAAAGCTATTACTGTTTGCAGATGGCATGATAGTGTACATAGAGAACCCTGTAGACTCTACCAAAAAACTCAACCTAATAAGTGAATTTGGCAAAACAGCAGGATACAAAGTCAACATTCAGGTATCAAAGGCATTTTTGTACACCAGCAATGAAATAGAAGAAGAAATCAGAAAAAAAATACCATTCGATATAGCAAGAAGAAAAATAAAGTACCTAGGAATAAATTTAACCAAAGAGGTAAAAGACCTGTATGCATAAAACTATACAACATTGAAGAAAGAAATTAAGGAAGACACAAATAAATGGAAGCATATATCATGCTCATGGATTGGAAGAATTAATATCATCAAAATGTCCATACTACCCAAAGCAATTTATAGATTCAATGCAATCCCTATTAAGATATCAGTGATGTATTTCACAGAAATAGAACTGACATTTCAAAAATTTATATGGAACCATAAATGACCCCAAATAGCCACAGCAATTTTGAGAAAGAAAAAGAAAGTAGGAGGGATCACAATACCGGACATCAAACTCTACTACAAAGCCACTATACTCAAAACAATCTGGTACTGGCACAAGAACAGACCCATAGACCAGTGGAACAGAATATAAAGCCCAGAAATAAGCCCAGGTCTGTATGGGCATCTAATATTTGACAAGGGGGACAGAAGCATAAAATGGAGCAATAATAGCCTCTACAACAAATGGTGTTGGGAGAGCTGGACGGCTACATGCAAAAAATTAAAACTGGACCATCTGCTGACACCATACACAAAAATAAACTCAAGATGGATAAAAGACTTACATATAAGTCCCAACACCATAAAAGTCCTAGAGGAGAGCATTGGCAGGAAACTCTCAGATATCCCACGCAGCAATTTTTTCACTGATATGTCTCCTAAAGCAAGGGACATAAAGGAAAGAATAAACAAGTGGGACCTCATCAAAATAAGAAGCTTCTGCACAGCAAAAGAAAACATCAGCAAAATGAACAGGGAATCAACCATATGGCAAAATATATTCTCTAATGATAGATCAGATAGAGGTTTGATCTCCAAAATATAGAAAGAACTCACTTGACTCCACTCCAAGATGACAAACGACCCAATCAAAAAATGGGCAAAGGACCTGGGCAGATGCTTTTCCAAGGAGGAGATACAGAGGGCCCAGATACATTTGAAAGGATGCTCGGCATCACTAGCCATCAGAGAAATGCAGATCAAAACCACCATGAGGTAGCACCTCACACCGGTCAGAATGGCCATCATAAACAGATCAACAAACAACAGGTGCTGGCGAGGCTGTGGAGAAAAGGGAACCCTAGTACACTGTTGGTGGGAATGCAGACTGGTGCAGCCACTGTGGAAAACATTTTGGAATTTCCTCAAAAAGCTGAACATGGAACTGCCTTTTGATATAGTGATTGCCCTGCTGGGACTATACCCTAAGAATCCCAAAACACCCATTCAAAACAACCTATACACCCAATGTTCATAGCAGCACAATTTACAATAGCCAAGTGTTGGAAGCAACCTAAATGCCCATCAGTAGATGACTGGATCCAAAGTTATGGTACATATACACAATGGAATACTATGCAGCAGAAAGATAAAAAGAACTACTAAACTTCACAACAGCATGGATGGAACTGGAGAGCATTATCATAAGTGAAATAAGCCAGGGGGCGAAAGACAAATACCATATGATCTCACCTATAAGCGGAACCTCACCAACAATACAAAGATGCAAGGAAAATAAGACCAGCAACACTGAAAGGAAAAGAAACCAACAGAGACAAGAGGGAAGGAGGGAGGGGTGCGGGCGGCGGGGGGCGGGTAAAGGAAGGGAAGGGGAAAGTCAAGGAACATATAGCAAGGACTCATGGACAGAACCAAAGGAGAAGAGTTGAGGGAGGGAGCGAGGGAGGGAGGGGGCAAGGGAAAGTGGTGGGGGGTAGGCAGAGACAAATGTATTTGAAAAAATAAATTAATTAATTGAAAAAAGGAGAAAAAAAACTGAACAATAAAAGAATAAACTCTGTGTTTAGAGTAAAAAAAAAAGAGAGAGAGAGAATCCCTGCACCACCCCCTCTCCCCAGACATCCATAAAGCTCCCTCTCGCACCAGCCCAGATCTCTGCTTCGAGGCTATCTTCTCAGTGAGGCTCTTTTTGACCTCCATTCCTCCTTCCCTGATTCATTTTTATTTTTGCACTTTATATATAATCAGTGCCATGAAAAAAAATACTATTTTGTTTATTGTTTTCCTTAACAGAAAACTTTTATTGTCTTTCTCTCTAGATGAGAATATAAGTTCTAGAAGTGCTGGAATTTGAGACCAGGTTGTTCACTTCTGTGTCCCATACATCTGGGATAGAACCTGGTAAATATTAGGTGTTAAAGTCATAATTTCTGAATAAAAGGATTGAGAAGAATGGGTAGAATTAGCAAGCATCAGGTGATTTCAATGCCTCTGAAAAAATTGTCAGGAGAGGAATTTTCTGCCAGAATAGGGAATTTTGGGGGGAATAGGTTAGACACAAGAATGGTAGGAAGTTGAAATTCTTTTTCAGAGGATTCTTGGCATAGAGGAGAACTACTATGGATGACAGACTTAAAACAGACTAAAGACTTGGGCCTTTTTTATCCCATAGTTATGAAGACTCAAAAGATTTTTGGAAAAAAAAAACCATAAAATTCTATAAAAGACTAAGAAAAGATTTTTGAATAGAAGAACGAAATGATGAAATTTATTTTAGCAAGGTTAATTTTGTAGACCTTTGCAGGGTACATTAGAAATCAATCAAGAGACTACAGTAATAACTTAATGTAAACCAGAAAGGTCATTCACAGTTAATGGTTGCCATGGGTGGGAAAGAAAGGATATTAGAGACAGAATACAGAAGGACTGACAGGTGTTGATGATTAATTCAGTGCAGCAGGGAGGAAGTACAATAGAGAGTGAAGTCACTGGGGAAAGAAGCCAGAGTAGTGAGAAGTTAAAGAATAACTGGGTGAGAAGTTTAAGAATAACTTGGTGGTGAGAGGAACTGAATGCAAAGGCAGCATACCCATGCTTAAGAAAATGCAAGTGAATGGGAGAGAGTATTTCAGTTTGTATCAGGCAGGGGGTGCACAGACAACTTGGTCTTCAGGATAGAGGCAATACTTGCAGAGAGAAAGAAAAGAATCAGAAGAGAGGACGACACAGAATGAAAGAGAGCAAGAGGATAATTTAAGGGGATCCACACATAACTGAGACCACAGATGCTGACCTCAGTTGTGAGGATGGGTGACTTTTCCTCTTGAATCAGGAAAGAACAATGAAAGAGTATGTCCAAAATACTCTAAGACGGAGTAAAAGGATGACCTGAAAAAGTAATTGATAAGGAGATTTTGATAAAATGTCTTAAAAGTTCTTCCCAGAGCTGAAATTTTCATTTTTTGATAGTGGGAAGGCTGTTTTAGCATAAGATTGAGAGCCTGAAGGTGAACAGGAAAGCTAAAATGGTACATGTGGGAAGGGAACCAGGAAAATAACGAGGTAAATAAAAGAATAAGTAGGCAGCCAGGAGCATATAGCTGAAGTTAAATGGCAGGTCCCCTAACCATTCTCTAGCAATGTTCTGTTCTGGGAAACACCAGTGGCAAAAAGCAGGTGATGGTAATGATTAAGGGTGGGAATCAGCCTTGCAGAGCCAAATGGCAAGGGAACCTAAAATGTTAGTGAAAACAGCATGGGTTGGCTGGCAGAGTACACAAACTGGACAAGGAGTCCTTGGAGAGAAACTAGTAAAAGGGAAAAGCTGGAAAAGTTGAACCTCTGGAAATCCTAATTTTAAAAAAGCAAACACATTTAAAACAACAAAAACAACATATTTTAGGTGTGGGGATATAGCAATGAACACTTTGGTTGAAAATGCTAGCCTTCTTGGAGCTTTTATTCTGTTCTGGGGAAAAAGTAAATACATATAGCATGTAAACTGGTGAAGGAAATTAGTACAGTCACAAAGAGATCATAATCAGAGATGAGAGCTCTAAGTTCAAGACCACAGAACTAGAATGGTGGCCTATGATTCTAAGTGCTAAGAGGGCTTATAAACTATGCACACACACAAATTTGGCACAAATCCTATTACTCGCTGCCAAGGGCAAAAGATCCATATTGTATTACTGACTTGTTGATTTCACATGCATTGTTCCACTTCTTTGGATTGTGCCTTTTTCTTTTTCCTTTATAAAGGTTGGTGGGCCAAATCATTTTTATGCTCTGAATATGGTAAGACTTTCAGGGGTTCATTGGCATAACAGGTACCAAAAGAAGAAAAAGGAGGCATTTGTCTGAGAGGGGCTTGGGCTACCCAAGCTTTCCAATGTAGGTTCCTGACTAGGGGCTACGCTCATGGCCCCGCCTGCCACATGATCCATAAAGGTTCCTACAAAAATGCGAGCCTGACTATACTATACCTTCTCTACTGGGATGGGGCCTGGATAAAGGTGATGACAAGGAGACTGAGGTAAGGCTCAGCTTGCAGGGTGGGCATGGCTACTGTGCAATGGGAATGGGAACTTCTGTGGTGGGGAGGGCTCGAGCTACAAAGGAATGTGACATGGGTCCCTGTTGTGGGTGTTGAAGTCCTCAAGTGTTGCAACTGGAGAGGTGAAGCAGGTCAGAAGATAACTGCAGTGGTCCTTCAGGGAGGATGATAGGGGTTATAGAAGGATTTGGAGTATAGAAGGATTTGGAGAAGGCAACATATCCCAAATAGTGGGAGTCTGACAGATGGTGATGGTCCATCTTCTAAGAGCAAAGCAACCTCCTCCTCATTCTCCTCCTTCCAGTAGACAGGCAAGCCATGATAAGAATGAAGGCAGATGGCGTGAACTGTCCCCGGGAGAAAATGTGGGCTAATTAAGGGAAAGATATGAATGTCCTAAGGAATGGATTGAAATTTCTGTACAGTGACATGAGGACATTGCCATCCACAGTGTGAGGGAACTCACAAGAATGAGGTTGAGTGCAATGGAGAAGCATAGAAAAGCAGTAATCTACAATTAGATGTAGATAAGATGGACAAGTGAAGCTATGATTGAATAGAAGAGTGGAAGAAGCAAAGCTTTGTTTCTGGAGGGAAAAAATGTTAAACTTTCATATTCTCTCATCCATTCATTCACTTAATCACTCACTCACTGAATAAATATTAATTGTGTGCTATTACGGACTGAATTGTGTCTCCTCCCACAAATTCATATGTTGAAGTCCTAACCCCCAGTACCTCAGGCTGTGACTATATTTCAAGAGGTAATTAAGTTATCCTTACTAGAAGAGGTTAGGACACAGACACACACAGAGGGAAGACCATGTGAGGACACAGGGAGAAGACAGCCATCTATCAGCCAAGGAGAAAGGCCTCTGAACAAACCAAACCTGATGACACCTTGATCTTGGACTTCCAGCTTCCAGGACAGTTAGGAAATAAATTTCTTTTGTGTAAGCCACCTGGTCTGTGGTTATGCATAAAATGAATTTGCTGTGTTAGCCTAGCAAAAAAATACACATGCCCACTATGTACCAGAAAGTAGTTTGAATGAAATGTATACAGGACTGATAAAAACCCTTTTTCATAAAATTCTATAGAAATGAAACTACTTAGGATTTCAAGTTCTTGTCCATTGGAAGAAAAATCTCTCATTAGTATCATCTGCCATCATGCGGGAGCTGCAGCAAGCACCTCCGAACTGGAAGCCTGCCTGTGCAGGGAGCAGAGGCTGACACGACAGGTGGGGATCCAGCCCGCTCCGTGGTGACAGCATGACATCACTATTCACCCTGACCACTTTCCCCCCTGACTCCTGCACTCAGAAAGAATGAAAAGAGAAATAAACAATAATAAGAGAGCATAATCCAACAAGAAGGAAGTACCATTATAGTATGAACCTACTTGGAGAAGGTCTGTGAAATGCCTAAATTTACTTTTCAAGGACTGTGTCTTAAAGCCTCTAGCTACTCTCCTAATAATCCACAGATAGGTCTACAGATACCAGCAGTTCTTTCACCAAGAGTCTCATATTCCACAACTGCCTTCATGCCAACACCAACAAGCAGTATGGCCTCAAAGTATGAAATGAATGCCTCACCATGACAACCTCCGTGTTTATCTTCCATGTCAATCCACTTGATGGCTCTGAGGTTACCAGTCCATGATGCATTTGGCATGGAGCCAGGGACACCTGCAATGTTGATTTAAAAAAGGAAAGCATAAATGAGAACTTAGAGAGAGAGAAGGGTGTCAATTTCATCAATTAATCACACAAGTCTTTTTTTTTTCAGTATGTTATCTTTCACATCAGATTTTTCATCATTGTTGCAAGACCCTAAAGGCTTATGACACAAATGGTTGGTGGTTATGAGCCTGGTCTTGCCATCAGTAAAAATAATATACTGATTTTTTCCATAGTGTATGACCAAGCCTGAAAAGTAGAACTTAAGATAATACCATAGTGTAAAACCAAAATGTAGAAAAGAAAGTTGGGAAGTTTTGGTGTCTCAGGCGCTTTAATTAAAATTACTTTCAATGCTAACATTAAATTTTTTGAGAACTTTCCAGATGGCTTATATCTTAAAGTGAAAGCCCAGGAAGTAGGCTACTCTGGGTTCTTAGTGCTGATAAGAGAGCAATTCCAGGGTTGCCCTTATACGAAGTTGCAATATTAGACATACAGAAGGTAGACATCTTGTTCACTACATGTAGAACTCATAAACAAATCCTTTAACACATTACAGTTTCTTTTTGTTTAAATATCCTTGAGCATTTGGTATGGACAAGCACTGTGCTGAGAAATGGGGACAGAGAGAAACCAGACATGATTCCTGATCACCCAATAAAGATGATGAATTGTCTATCTCAAACAATAGGTTTTGAGCTTTGAGTTTTCCCTATAAGATTGGTGTACAATGATCCACTCATCTTTTCTTTCAGTTGGTCTTCGACCAAATGCTGTTGCTGATCTGTTTTGAAACATAAAGAATTAGCCTTAAAAGGGGGGAAAAGAGTATTAGGTTTGTCATCTTGCTAAGTGAAGGTTTCTCTAACATGGCATTATTGATTGACACTTTGGGTTGAATAATCCTTTGTCGTAGGTCCTGTCCTGTATTGCATGATGTTTAGCAGCACCCCTGGCCTCTATCCACTAGATGCCAGTAATACATAACCTCCAATTGTGATAATCAAAAATGTCTTCAGACATTGCCAAATATCCCCTGGGGGAGGAAAACTGCCCTGTTTGAGAAACACTGTGCTAAGCTACCTCAAATAATCCTCTTCATCTCATTAAATTTTGGATAGTTCTCAGAAATTGAAGGGTCCATTTAATCACACAGATAGTTACACCCCAAGACTTTCATTACTGGAAAAGGAGTATATGAGAATCAATGTAAATGCAACTAGAGGAGGCATACTTTACTTCAAAAGAGCCACAGCAGTTTTCACCAGTGAGAAATTTTATCTGAACATAATTTTGATGTAATAGCACTACACAAGTGTTATCTGTATTCAAATTGCAATAGTCCTTTCTTATTAGACCTTAAATATTGATGAGACATACTGCAGGAGGCAGAATAATGGCCCCTCTCCCACAAACATACTCATATACTTAAAGAAGTCTGTATCCTCACCCCTGGAACTTGAGAATATGTTGTGTTTAGTGTGGCAAAGGGGAACTAAGGTTGCTACTCAGCTGACCCTAAACTGGGAAATAGGGAGAGTATCCTGATTTATCCAGATGGGTCCAATGTAGTCACAGGGTCTTTAACAATAAAAGTGGGAGGCAAAAGAATTGCCTGTATGGGTGTGATATGAGGACTCAACTTATCTTTGCCATTTAAAGATGAAGAAAGGGGCTAAGGAATGCAGGGGCGTCTCTAGAAGATGGAAAAAGGCAAGGAAACAAATCCTGCCTAGACCCCTCAGAAAGAAACAGCCCTGTCAACACCTTGATCTTAGCCTGCTGAGACCCATGTTGGACCTGTGACCTATAGAACTGTATACATTTATGTTCATTAAGCTGATAAATTTGTGGGAAATTGTTATGGTGGCAAATAGAAAACTAAACACATGCTAATGAGAAAAAGTGACCCAAAACAATGGATATTTTTTAATAAGGAAAAAAATTTGACACAACTAATATTTTTTAAAGAAGTTTAATTGGATAGGCATATAAACATATTTCCTCTTTAAAAACATAAACAAAAACATGTGCGTTTTCAGAAGAAAGAAAGGCTCTCTTCTTTTGTCCTGATGTCGCACGATAATTATATGATGATCTAAATCCAGAATTGTACCAAGGTTTCCCAACTAAAATTAAATTCTGCACAACCTTCCTGTAAAACAGCATTGAGTCTTTACATTTAAGGACTCTGTACAAATAGATTTTCTTCTTTTCTTGCTGCCAAACTTAAAAACTTTGCTTATACATGTTGAATATTTGAAAAAAAAAAAGCTACTTATTAAGCAATATTTCTTTCCACTGTTTCGATTTACATAATACTTAAAATAATTCATGTGTTTGCCTATCCCCAAAGTAACTTCTTTGTTTTGTTCTCAGCACCCATTTTTTAAAAATTTAGAATAAAGCTTCCCTTGGTTAAGTTGGGGTGGGGAGAGGGCAGTCTGAGAAACAAAGAGATAATTTAGTATATTTATTTGTGTCAGCAAGATTGGATTAATATTTTGATGAAATAACCACAGAAGAGAAGTGTGAATAAAACAGTGCCAAGAGGAAAAGTCCCTTATACACTTTTCAATGACTGCGTGTTTAAAAGGAGAGGGTATTTTTCTTCCTCTGTCTCTCATGTATAACACTTATTAACCTCCTGCTAATAAAGTTTCAAACCTCAATTTCTACACTTTCTGTTTGATGACAAATCTCAAATTTGTCTGTTTAAATATTATTCATGTTTGTGCATAAAAAAGTGACATTTTTTGAAGCAGTAGCCGGGAGAGGGTCAAACACAAAGTTGAATCCCAGTTTATCTCTTTTTGCAAAGAACGCTGAAACAGAAATGTCTCCAAATGGGGATAGAGCCATGCTTTCTGAGCGTGGTTCTTGGACAGGAAATATCATCTGGGAACCTGTTAGAAATGAAGAATCTCGGGCCCCACCCAGACCTCCTGCCCCAGAATCAGCATCTCACACAAGCTCCCCAGAGGATTTCTAGGCACTAGCAAGTCTCAAAAGTACTGGGCAATCATCAATGCTGTGAAGAGGACAGAGATCCTTTTTCTCCTCTCCTTGAAGTCCGTCTCTCAGACTCCATCAAGTTTCTGGGTTAGACTCACTCTCTTATTCTCCATTAAATTCTACTGTTTTGAAGAAATCTGCTGCTATATGCCTTTACATCCTTCGATTAATGAAACAAACGACCAACTGCAGGAATATACCGAATATATGCATTTTAATGTAGCTCTCAAATCAGCTCTTTGAAGACAATCGGCTCAGCTGTTGTAGGGAGAAGCCTTTTTGAGCAGAAGGCCAGTCCTCACAGGGCCCTTAATGTCACAGCATTTGGCCCTCAGGAAACACACAAAGGGCTGCCCCATCAACTCAGTCTTTAGTACTGATGGTGAGGACCACTCAGATCCTGTGTGGATCAGACAGGCCTAGTTGCTGCCTTGGTTTCCCAATAGGCCACCATAATTTATGGTGAAATAATGTTCTACTTCTCAGTATCAAAATGTATTTCTTCTACCCTTCTAGCAAGGGCCAACCTGTGTTAGCCTGCCCTCTGGCAAAAGCCTACATGGCCGTCAATCATCTTATCCCCCACATCTGTCCTGCCTGGTACAATGAGCTTAGTGGGGAGAAAAACTCTCAAGATTTCTGGTGACAGCTCATTTCAAACAATGTGTGGGCCTCACTTGGTTGTTATTTTGAAGAGATAAAGGCAAGCAAAAGATTGTATAGCCTAAATGTACAGTGCACCCACTGTTCAGTTAGTAATTTAATCTGGTTTGAATTAAAAGACACATGGAGACCCAAAGCTACTGATCCCACCACCTGTGCGAACATCCAATTTACCTCCTAGTCCATTCAAGCATCTACTAAACATGTTTCCTGTTCTTCTTCAAGAGATGTACCTTCAGCAAACTCCCTGATGGAATAGACACTGGGCGTGGAGTTGAGGAACTTAGTTCTCATCCCAGCTTTGTCAATAACCAGCTCTGTATCCTTGTACATCATTTAATGTCACTCAGACTCAGCTTTCTAATGAAGTAGGTAGATTACATCAGTGGTTTTTCAACCTTTCAGACTGAAAACCACTATCACACAACGTGCAAACAAAAGTTTTACAAAATAAACTGCAGGCTTATTACATACAATGCACTTGCTTATTTTACATTATTTTCTGGTCTAGCATCCTGTTAAAACTCTAAACAAAACCTACTAAGGTGATTTCTGGATCCACTAATGAGATACAACTACTATTTTAAAAATACTGGACTTTTTTAAATACAGAGGACTGTATTATTGTTGTAGCTGTTATGATTATAATTATTGACTGTCAAGATTCTAGGCAGGTGTTATGGGTTGTAGGGTAATAGCCTATCCTCAGTTCACAGGTATCATAAGAAAGATCTATTTTTCATTCTTTCTGGGATGCAGCAAAAAGGACACACCAACATTTTAAACTATAAAATCCAACTCTCCCATTTCCTCTTCATAGGCTTATTTAAACAAAAGATTTGAGATAAAGTCTACAGAGTAACCAGGAATGTTTTTCTTGGGACTCAGTCTTTATTAGTCAAATAACTGCACTTGAATGAATGAAGATGCTTCTTTGAAATACAAGCTTTATTTATACTGACTTGACTTTCTTACTGTTCTTACACAGTGTGGCCCTCATTTTGGGAGACCTATATCTGGTAACAAACTCCAGCACCTGCTGTTATTTAGGCTCAGATATGCATTTTTTGACTTATTAAATAAACACAGAATTTTGTTTTTAAATGTCAAAAGCCAATGCTGATGTCATTTTATTGAAAGAGATTTTCTTACAATTTAATGGTGGTGCTGTAAATTGGTACAACTCTGAAAAATCAATTTGAAAACAAAGTAAGAAAAACAACCATAATTGTCAATTCCCTTTGACCTTTTAAACCAATAGTTCCATAATAAGCTAAGGAAATAATTCCTTTTTGTCCTTTTTATTGCATTTATTGGGGTGATACTAG